ATCACCGCACACCAGTAAGGATCGCCATCATCGAAAAGACAAACAACAACAAATGTTGGCGAGGTTGTGGAGAAAGGGGAACCCTCCTACACTGCTGGTGGGAATGTAAACTAGTTCAACCATTGTGGAAAGCAGTATGGAGGTTCCTCAGAATGCTCAAAATAGAAATACCACTTGACCCACGAATTCCACTCCTAGGAATTTACCCTAAGAATGCAGCACTCCAGTTTGAAAAAGACATATGCACCCCTATGTTTATCGCTGCACTATTTACAATAGCCAAGATATGGAAGCAACCTAAGTGTCCATCAGTAGATGAATGGACAAAGAATATGTGCTACATATACACAATGGAATATTAGTCAGCCATAAGAAAAATACAGATCCTACCATTTGCAACAACATGGATGGAGCTAGAGGGTATTATGCTCAGTGAAATAAGCCAGGCAGAGAAAGACAAGTACCAAGTGATTTCACTTATACGTGGAGTATAAGAACAAAGAAAAACTTAAGGAACAAAACAGCAGCAGAATCACAGAACCCAAGAATGAACTAACAGTTACCATTCCTGGAAAGGGACTGGGGAGGATGAGTGGGAAGGGAGGGATAAGGGTGGGGAAAAAGAAAGGGAGCATTATGATTAGCATGTATAATGTGGAGGGGGATATGGGGAGGGCTGTGCAACACAGAGAAGACAAGTAGTGATTCTACAGCATCTTACTTTGCTGATGGACTGTGACTGTGGAGGGGTGGGGGTGGGGGGACTTGGTGAAGGGGGGATCCTAGTAAGCATAGTGTTCTTCATGTAACTGTAGATTAATGATAACAAAATAAATAAATAAATAAATAAATAAATAAATAAGAGAAGAGATGCATGTGTATTTTGCCAAGGGTGGCCCAAAATGCAGCCGTAGGTCCTCCTTCCTTTTGCCCACCTCTTCAAGATTAATGCCTGATGAGGAACCGATTCTAATCAAAGAAACCCAAGCCAATAGCTTTTCTACCTAAGATAAATAATAATTTTAGATGTACATTTCTTTGACTTGCAAACAACTGTGAAATAATATCCCATATCCTGATTCCAAGCAAATTACCAGGTGAAAATACACAGCCTTCAGTTTTATTTCTCTCCCTTCTTATTCCTCCTCCTCCATTCTTTATATGGTGGGTGTTTTATTCTGTGCTCTTTTGTGTTTCCTTTGACTGCTTTTGTGAGTAGTTGGTTTTATTTTTTGCTTTTAGTTAGTATTTGGTTGGTCTGCTTTCTTCCCTGTGATTTTGTTTTCTCTGGTGACATCTATTTAGCCTTAGGAGTGCTCCCACCTAGAGCAGTCCCTCTAAAATACCCTGTAGAGGTGGTTTGTGGGAGGCAAATTCCCTCTACTTTTGCTTGTCTGGGAATTGTTTAATCCCTCCTTCATATTTAAATGATAATCATGCTGGATACAGTATTCTTGGTTCAAGGCCCTTCTGTTTCATTGCATTAAATATATCATGCCATTCTCTTCTGGCCTGTAAGGTTTCTGTTGAGAAGTCTGATGATAGCCTGATGGGTTTTCCTTTGTAGGTGACCTTTTTCCTCTCTCTGGCTGCCTTTAATATTCTGTCCTTGTCCTTGATCTTTGCTATTTTAATTATTATGTGTCTTGGTGTTGTCCTCCGGGTCCCTTGTGTTGCGAGTTCTGTGGGCCTCTGTGTTCTGAGAGACTATTTCCTCCCCCAGTTTGGGGAAGTTTTCAGCAATTATTTCTTCAAAGACACTTTCTACCCCTTTTTCTCTCTTCTTCTTCTTCTGGCACCCCTATAATGCAAATATTGTTCTGTTTGGATTGGTCACACAGTTCTCCTAATCTTTCATTCCTGGAGATCCTTTTATCTCTCTCTGCCTCAGCTTCTCTGTGTTCCTGTTCTCTGATTTCTATTCTGTTAACCGCCTCTTGCACCTCATCCAGTCTGCTCTTAAGTCCTCCAGAGATTGTTTTATTTCTGTATTCTCCCTCCTAACTTGCTCCTTTGGCTCTTGCATATTTCTCTGCAGATCCATCAGCATGGTTATGACCTTTATTTTGAATTCTTTTTCAGGAAGATTGGTTAAATCTATCTTCCCAGGCTCCCTCTCAGGGGTTGTCTGGGTAATTCTTGACTGGATCAAATTCTTCTGCCTTTTCATGGTGATAGAGGTAGTCATAGGCAGTTGGCACATGTATCAGCTGGGAGAACAACGTCCCACACACGGGGAGCAGCTTATGGTTTTATTTCCTGAGCTGCCGTGGGTGGAGCAGCCATCGGGGCAACCCAGAGCCCCATGGGGAGAGGCAGGTGTGCTGGGTGTGCTCTCCTGCGAGAACGGCGACTTTTCACTGCCTGTCCCAGCTTCATCTGTCTGTGCTGGGCTGCTGCGCGCTGGTGGGGCCTCTGAGTTGGGCCCGGGTGGCTGCGGAGGAGGCTCTGGGTTGTCGCTGTGGGTGCAGCTGCTCCCACGGCCGCTCTCCTGCTATGGCAGGGCCATGCCGGAGGGAATGGACAGGAGGCTGTTCATTGCCGTGAGGGGCTTCAGAGCTGCGCTGTCACCCAGGGGGTTAGGGCACCTGGAGTTCCCCGGGATTCCCAGCTGCTACAGCCTTCAGTTTTAATCTTCAAATCTATAAAATGATGACAGTCAACATCACTCACCTCTAGGTTCTTCTGGGAGCATGTGGAGTTTTTTTTGGCTTAAAATTTCACAAAGAAATGGGCAATAAGGAGTGGCATCCACCACTACCCTCAAGGAGGGAGAGTTCTATTCCTTGCCAGGTTAGACCCAGGACCAGGGTCAATGCATGGAGATTATTTCACTTCCTTTGAGCATATGGGTCTACTCAGTAACAGAAAAACTCATGAATTCTCTGGATTTCCTTACCTGCGATAAGCTGTTTTTCCCTGGAATTCAGTATTTCCAGACAGATGGGAGAGGAGAGAAGACTGAGTAAAGGAGACATTCCAGGTTTATTTTTTGTTGAGTTCTCATTAACTTGATAGAGCTAACCTACCCTGATTCTTCCAAGAGAACTTACTACTGAAGCTTCACGGCCCAGGCTGTCTGCCATGCTGGTCACCGTCACAGTCACTGTTGCCCATTTTGTCACACTTGCCATCTCCTCCTGGCTCATCATTTTTCCTGGGATACTCTACAGCTCGCTGCCAATCCACATTGTCAGGGTCCCTAATGGGCAGTTGCAGCAGGGAATCAGCCTCAGCCTCTAAAGTCACACTACTGCGAGGATGCCAAGGAGGTACTGCCAGCTGCCCAGTGGCTGCTTTCTCTGCCATTTCTTTCACCTCCGCTGGACAGAAGAGAAAGCAGCATCTAAAAACAGCACCATGAACACTGGAAATGAAATGTTTTGATACTTAAAGAGCTATGTCATATTTTTTATAGCTCATACTGTCACACCAATTGCCTTTTCAGAACCACATCATCCTTAGCTTGATGGAGACTGTTAGTTCAGCCTGCTCCGTTTAGGCTGAAAGGGAGGACAGGGGACTTGATGACAGAGAGGGAAGGGCAGAATTTCAGTCAGTTACAGCCTTTACTGCTGAATTCTGGAGTGGAAGGCAGCAGAAAACTTGTAGATAGACTTTGCTGTAAAGATTTTACAAGGAAATGACTTCTGAAGCCCCAGTCTATACTGACTAGTGGAAAGGATTCATTTGAGTCTGTCTGGCTTTTCTAGACTACACTGAGCTCTTATTTTGGGAGTTTGTATATATGTGTTTTCATTCCAAATGTTCTACAGTTTTGCTCATGTCAGTTAACGTTGGTATTAGAAAACACATTGTATCCTTTTAAGGTTATAAGAAAAAACTGATACGGAAGGATAATGCCCACAGGATATGGGAAAGTGAGACTGCATGCTCCTAGTTTAATAATGTTATCTTTTAAATATTGCATACTGTTTTGCTACACTTGGTACATAACATACATTAACATACATAATAGAAACATTTCCTATAAAGTTCAGAAATGAAAAAAGCACTTCTCCACTCCCACCCAAGAAAATCAATAAACAATATACACAGTAGTGGGCCTGATGGTCTCTTTTGTTTGGACTAATAACATGGAATGTGTTCACTTCAACAGTATTAGAAGATCCATCCTAAGAAATGCTCATTTTTCCTGACTAGGTAAAAAGAAAAAATCATTTCCATCCTGCCATTTGTAATCAGAAAGGCCCTGCTTTTAAAATGGAATGATCTAACAGATTAAAAGAATATGGGAGAATAGTGCAATACAGGTTGTGTACCTAGAAATACACTTTAACTTTCATTCTGACCAACAGAAGCCATGGCTTTATACTCACTCTTCCATTTTAAGTGTACCTCTCCATCATCTTCATTATTTCTTGACTTTGTATTACAGTTTTCAGAAGATACAGATTCCACACTGATCCTAAATTGTATAGGTTTTTTTTGGGAGTTGGGGAGCAGGGTGGACATAAATACATCAATTTGGTCCAGTTCCTGACACAACCCAGCACTCACCAGCCCACCCGGAGGATGCCCCAACTCCCCTCTGAGCCATTCCTGAGGCTGCACAGATCTGCCCACTGCTGCCCACCTGCCAGACTCCCCACTGTTCAGCCCACAAGACTCCTTACCTGGTGGGGCCCTGGCCAGGGCTGAGTGACACTAAAGGTCCCTGCGGGGGGCCCGACACAGTGAAGAGGCCACTATTTAGCTGTGTAACTTGGGCTTGGATGCTGCACTCTCCAGGCCTTCCCTGGCTAAGAAACGAAATAACTGGGTTAGATGATCTGTTGTTTTTTTTCAGTTCCCAAGTTCAGATTTCATGACTGTAAAAGTACTCCTGGGAAGCTTTCAGAGGTATAGGAAACTGACTGAAATCAAATTTCCCCAGACAGATTCCTAGTCCCTGAGCTGTTGCAGAAACCCCAACCAAACCTTCAAAAATGCTTCAGAACACAGGTGATGGTTCAGAACTGATCCTGCCCTTTGATCAGAATCCTCTAGTAACAGGCCCACCTGCCTATCAGTGATAGCACAATAACTAACATTTGTAGAGATGGTTCGAGGCACCTAGGAGTCTGAAAAACATTCAGGGATCCTCAACCTAGTTTCACTGAGCTCTAAACCCTGACCCATCACTAACTAGCTGTCTGGCTTTGGCAAACTTCAATCTCTCTGGACCATTTTTTAATCTGCAAAACAAGGGAGTCTTTTTTCCTCTAAATATCCATGATTTTATATTATTCTTTATTAAACTAACGTTGAAAATGTGTGCTTGTGGCATATACATGGGTTCCTAATTATCCAGAATGCCCTACTTTCCCACCGGACCAGAAAGAAGTCTGTTCAATCAGAACGGTCAGATCTGATCAGTTTCTTTAAAGAGCAACTTGGCAGTAGCTATCAAGAAGCAGTAAGAATTTCAAACCCTCTTATCTAGTAACTCTGCTTCTAGGAGTCTATCGAGGACATAATCCAAAATGCAGAAAAGGCTTGACTGACAAGTCACTATAGCCCTATTCATAACAGAAAAAGAATCCACCTAAATTTCAACAATGGGGGAAATCCAACAATTTCAAAGTAAGTGCACAACAGGTGTTGTTTTACTAATGTGGAATTATGCTCATGTGAAAAGTGAAAAAGCAGGATATAAAAATTGCCTACATGTACATAATAATTTCATTTTTTTAAAGCATACAGAAAGACTAGGTAGATTGGTAGCAAAACGTTAAACATTCCTTTGGGAAGAAGGTGGAGCTGGACAGGGGAGCCCACTGCAATGGCTTTTGTTTTATCATCTAATGGCTATCCCTTCACCCTCTCTGCTTCTGTCAATGATGTGAGCACTAAGTCCTCTGATCCCAGTTAGGTAGCTCTTCAGTAATTCCCTCGGTAAAGTAATTCCCTATTATTAAATACAGTAGTCCCCCATTATATGCAAGGGATACATTCCAAGACCCTCAGTGAAACTGTGCATAGTACACAACGTGAATTTTTTTCTTTCCTTAAGTCAAGAAGTTTCATCTTTTTACTTAAATAAAAGAGGCACGTTACAACTTCTCTGTGACATATGTGAATTGTCAGCATCACTACTCTTGTGCTTTGGGGTCATTATTAAGTAAAATAAAGGTTACATCAACACAAACAGTGTGATACCTCAACAGACAATCCGATAACCAAGTCACCTACTGGGTGACTAACAGGCAGGCCAGGAGTGAATACAGCATGGATATTTCAGACAAAGGGATGATTCATGTCTATCCTGGGCAGGATGATCAAGAGAGAGGGAGATTTCATCACACTATTCAGAATGGTGCACAATTTAAGATTTATGAACTATTTCTTGATTTTCCATTTAAGAGTTTATCTAGACCACAGTTGACTGAAAGTGTGTAAAGTGAAACCACAGATAGGCAGGGACTGCTGTACACTAAACTAAAATGGACTTTTTCCTTGATTCTCCCTTAAGGTCCACATATCTATCAGACTTGTCATTAGTCTCAGTCACCACTGGGGGAGAAACAAAAAGTTGCTTTTGTCCAAGAGAACTGACTTCAAAGCTGTGGATTAATGCTGCCATTTAACCACACAAAAAATAACTAAAATTGATACACCACTCTGTCTTGAAACACGTTTACTGGCCCTTTAATAACTGGCCCTGTGCAAACCAAAATTTGTCTCATCTACGTTCTTCTGAACTGAGTGTACACATATGCTCTCCTCTCAGTGATGTGTGCTGAAGCCAGTTCATTGATCTAGCTGGAAAGAGGCTGAAGGGTAACTATGATACTATTCAACCACATTATTGTTATATAATTTTATAACTCTGGAGTCAGTGACACTTATTTTGAATCCTGGTTCCTAAATAGTTTGGTTTCTGTAGCACTGGCAAATGGAGTACCTGGCATTTCTCTTTATGAGACAAAAACAACGTGGGCAGCTTTGGAAAGGCAAGATGTTTTGCTTTTGACAACTGGTGAGTTCTGTCTGAGTAACCTGCCAGCCACTTTACCTCTGGTGTCTCCTACCAGTTTCCATTATACTATTCTTTCCACTCCCTTAAAGGGGAGAATCTGCCAAGAGCTGTTTCTGTGTTACTATTTTTCATCACTCAGTCTCTTTGTCACTAGACATAGGAAGATCATTAAATGGGTTTGGGGTCACTTGAGAGTCTAAAAGCATGGTGACAAAAGAATGATAAGACGTTAAACTACCTGCTGGTGTTCTGGTTCCTACTTCTTTCCAAAGTGTCCTTGGCTCCCTCAGTGGGCTGAAAGTGTCCACCTATGCTCTGTTTTCGAGGGCCACAAAGAGGTGACAGCTTTAAAAGCAATCAACATGTTTAGTGCTTTGAGGAAAGAATTGGCATTCCTCTTCTCCTCACTTTCATATTGTTTTTAAAGCCATTCCTGTTAAATGTGGAGAAATGACCAGACCTAACAAGGCTCTTTCCGTATTTCAAATCTAGCAATTCACGTCTTACCTGGAGGCCTTTACATAGAGATGCTGGCCTCTAGGAACCCAGTCCATAAAGGGCGCAAGTGAAGAATGAGCAACCAAAATAGACATCAAAAATCCAAAAATTTCCCCCTATATTAAGGCAGTAGGCTTTGTGGCAGGAGCCCTAGACCCTGTGTTCTACTCTAATCCCTACTCAGACTAATCTACAAGCATTTTATGCTTCAGTTTCCTCATCCATAAAGCAGGGACAAATATCTGCCTGAATCCACGAATAGGGATGCTATGAAAATAAAACACAATAAAATAAAGGCTACAATACTTTGGAAATAATAGAAGAAAAATACATTAAAGCCTATGCCCTTTATCCAAAAGGGAGACTTTTGGATCTGCTTATCACAATTTAACAAACTTAATTACATTCCCCAACCTGTAGCAAATCAAAGGTAACAAATGTGGGGCTTGGGGGCATCAGGATGCCTAAAACTGAGAGGATGTATGGAAATGATCATAAGCTCCCTCAGGTATGAGCTCAGACGGCCTCTGCATGGGCGCAAAGACTCCTCAGCAGGGGCCGGAGGCGGCACTGAGTCATGGAGCATCATGATAATAGAGATTCAGAAAAATGTCATGATCGCCAAGGAAAGGTTAGAATCTATTTAGAATATACTCAAAATAGGTATTTAGAATAATGATACATCTGTTCCATCAGTATAATTAAAAATTTTAAAACTGATAAATCAATGACTTTGAATTATCTGAAAATTTCACTTAGGTGAAAATGCCTTATCCCTTCTTATCTAGAAAACCAGGGTGGACTTTTCAAAAAAAATTAAATATGGTATAATTGTTTTATGCACAGTCACATGTACTAGCAGATGGTTTCCAATGATGCCTGCCACCAGTTCCTTCCTCCTTATCCACACTGCCATCTGAGTTGGCCTCCTGACTGATCAACGGAGAGCAGCAGCAGGGACACTGCCTCAGGGCTGGGACCAGTAGTCCCGTTTTGCCCAGGATTTCCTTTCCCCAGATTTACACTGCCATTCATTGCATCACACATATGCCTACAGGGCGCCCCTCCCAGCTTTCCTCATTAATGCCCTGCCGCCTTCACCAAGTTAAGCAGTAGGCTTTTCTCAGGAACATGCAGTGAGATCTCCAAAACTTCTTACAACTTGGTCTCTAACTTCTTGGTGTGTAATTCCCTACTTCCCTGAGATGACTAAAGAGAAACAAACTCCTAACAGCTTTAGAACTTACCTTTAAGTCATTCTTCAGAATATAGTGGATGTCTTGAAGAAGGTTCATAGTTGATCTTTCTGCTTGACCTGGATGCCTGACTTAATATCATAATAAGGTTTTGGAAGCCTGATGTCAGCTTCTAAATAATTTTCCAAAACAATGGCTTCTTTGATAACTGAGCTAAGCCATTCCAGGGTATGTTGTCTGTTAAGGAAAAAGTCATAGGAAGGAGTAACATTAAGAAATTAAATGAAATTGGATAACTTTAGTCAAGTTACTTAACCCCTCCAACTATTATTTTCTCTGTATAAAAACGACCTGGAATTCCAATCACAAAGCAGAAGCCACTTTACCCAATTATCAGGGAAATCCTTGAAGCAGAGACAAGAAAAAGTAGTATCAGAATCATCTATACATAGGTTCTACACTGGCGACAGGGACCACAGAGAATGTTTCATGGCATCAGGCTGGGTAGCCTAATGCAGTCTTCTCGTGGAAGGTTTAGTTTGCCTCTGAGACTGTAAGCACTGGTAAGGGGAGCTGCCTCTCACTTACCCCCCCTCAGTGAAGGTTACTGGATGTGTGTATCCTGGTCTCCTAAAGGATTCATTCTGTCTTCAGATATGGGACCATTTCCTTCACATTAAAGTCCCGTAGGCTTGGATGGGCTTCCATGTCTTTCAGGCAACACTACTTATACACACACTGGCCCCTGGGTGTGTTTGATTTCATAGTTTACTTCTCAGAGGCCAGTCTTTTCTCCTCATTTACAAGTTCTTAAGGGGAAGCTCACAGAGACCCCTAAGCATTGACAGCAATACTCAGTTTTAAAATTTTGCTTGGATTAAATGCATTACCATTGACAAGCTGACAGGTGGGCTTTGCAAAGAACAGGTGAAAAGAGAAAGACTTCTGGGAGATCATCTTCTATCTTCCCCAAGGTATTTTTTCCTAGACATCTTTTTCTATGTCTGCATTTTCATAAAACTAAGTAACTCTTGGGGGGAAAAAATCCAACCTAAAAATAGGGACTTTGGTCACAATCAATATGCTCTTCGAGCTACAAGTTAGAATTTCCTGTATGATCATTGAAAAGCTGTAGACATAGATTTCACTGTGGCTGCCTTTTGTAAGATCACCTCTGGGGCCGCCCAGTTGACACAGTCTATTTGTGAAACATTTGCCTGTGAAGACTGGCAACCTCCTTGATTTTCTAGAAACCCAGCTAGATCCTGAGCTAACTCTCACTGCTGGCCATTCCAACACTTGCAATTCTTTACCATTCCTACCCAAGTGGGCCTTTCCCACCCTCCCACCTCATTTTGTTCTCTCCTGCTTGCTCACTCCACTCAAGGCACAGGGGCCCCCTCTCAGTTTCTCCAAGCACCTCACCACTTCAGGTCTTTGTACTGGCACCATCATCTGCATGGCCTACTCTGCCTATAGATCCTGGTGCAACTGGCTGCTTCTGGTAACAGAGGCATTAATTTGAAAATCTGCCTCCTCAGAGAGGCCTTCCCCAAACACCTACTCTAAAGTAGTCACATTTTGTGGGTGGGAAGGTGAGGGGGATAAAGGAGCACAAAAGTCTCAATCATAATGTAAGTTGGTTATGGGGATGGTAGTGCAGCATGGAGAATACAGCCAGTGGTTCTGTAACATCTTTCTATGTTAACAGATAGTAACTGCACTAGTGGGTGGTGAGGATTTCATACTGTGTGTAACTGCTGAACCACTGTGTGATATACTTGAAACCAATATAATATTGTATATTCACTATACTTCAATAAAATAAACAGTCCCATTTTGTTGGCTTCAGAGTACTTATCTGAACTTTTTGTTCATTTATTGTTTATTATGTCTCCCCTCCACTCCTTGAGAGTAGGCACCTCATCTTTTATATCTCCATTAAGTCCAAACTCACACCAGAGCCTCAATGCTTACTTTTGCAAATATGAATACAAGACTCTTTCAAGGCCCCCCTCAAGCTCCATCTGCTTATCAGAGCCTTCTGGAACTCCTCCAACAACTTGTGATTGCTTCTTTTCTGACTCTGCCTTCCAGTGAATGAGCCCTCTCAGTGAAGCCCTCAAAGGTTCACTGACTGGCTTGAATAATTCAACTTCCCAACCAGGCTCCCTGAGAACCCGAATGCTGAGAGTCCATTAAATGTCTTCTGGGCCAGCAACGGTCCTCAGGGTGAGGTCAGTGCTCACTTCTGCCCACAGCTGTCATGTACATCAAATAAGATCATGTGTGTGGAAACACTCTGTGAGCCATAAAGCACTATGTTTTAAGTAGGAAATTAATACAAATGGTATGGTAAGCATTTGGTTGCTGGTTAAGAATTAAGAATTAAGTTTTTAAAAAGCCAAGTGGCCAGAAATTCTTTTCTAGTCTGGCAAAGGGCAGATTTTAGAGGATGGGATGGGCTTCTCAGAATTTGAGCAAACTTCCCTAAATAATATTTCCTACAGCAGAGCTTTTGATAGATGGCAGTGAGTTCAGGAAGCCATCAAGTTAGAAAAGCTGGCATTGACATTTTAGTTGTATTTCTGAATAGTCAGGTGTGGCCTGGTGTAATGGGAACAGCCTGGACACACATGCCAATATCATATTAATATCACAGGAAAATCAGGGAGTGCTTTCTTGTCAGGGATATATTCTGAGGCCCTAACATGCTTGGCTCTTCGTGTTGCGTGGTGATTCTCTAAGTGAAATCACCTCCCTTCTCAGGCCTCTCAGGCCTGTCTAAGGCTCTGATAAGGGACAAGTCACCTACAACCAGGATTTATATCCTTTCTCTTTCACCCCCCTTCACTTTCCCCTCTACCCTTCTCTGTTAAAGCTCCTTTTCTGGTTGTCATTCTAGGGCAGTTATTTTTCTGGGCTTCAGCTCTGACATCATTAAAAGTACATTTGGCTACAGCTATGTGATACCACCTGCAAGGTCAATTCCAGCTCCAAAGAATCCAACAAGGAGGAGCTGAAGAACAGGAGAGACTTGCTGTATCATTTTTACACCAAGCGACAGAGTTCCACCCTTGACAATGACATTCAACAAACCAACCTGTCCAAAGAGAGTGTTACCAAAAACAAAAGTGGAATTGAAAGCTATTTTGCATTCTTTGATAATCAACTCATGCTAACAGCTGTCAAGGCAGTTGCAACTACAATTGCTTGCTGACTGACACTTCTGCCTGAAGTTCCCATCTGAGGACAACAAGCCCAAAGGGGAACTCACACCTTCCTACCCAGTTACCTCCTGGCCCCTCACTTGACCAATCTGTGGACCCCAGCTCCTCAGTGCATCTCACATCTTTCCCTTCTATTTTGGTTCCTTAGTCACCACCGAGCCCTGCCGGGGGCCTCTTAGCTGTTCTTCCTACCCCCAACCACAAATCCATCCTGCCCCCACAGCCAGAAAACATCCTCTTCCATGTGGGTCTAGCCACAGCTGGGTAACATACTACCTCTTCACCTCTCAGGGCCTCAGTTTCCCCATCTATTAAAGGACAGGGTTGGGCTAGGCCCTTTCCAAAGCTCCATTTAACTCTAGGATGCACAGAAAAAACTATTGTTTATCTCCACCAACAAGAGACAGTGTCCCACCACCAGCCAACAGCTTGGGTCCTGTTACAGCCTTCCGGAACAGTCCTTGTCACCAGCAGCAGAAATGTTGAGACCCCTCAGCTTCCACTACTCCTGAACACACAGCTGAAGTGTCAACTTGTACTTAACTGCTTCAAGTTTTCCCTTCATCTAGACTCATCCATTCACTTAATGAACATTTACTGAGCAATTACTGTGTGGAGGGCCCTGAGCTGGGTGCTGAAGATGAACAAGCATGGTCCCTGCCATCCTGGAGCTCACCATCTGGCAGAGCAGACACACCTGACTGCAGAAAAAGTGAATGTGCAGTGTGGTGGTAACAGAGCTTCAGCAGGGGCCTCTTGGGGTGTGAGGGAAACTGTGACTGAGGTGAGTTTAAAAGGGTAAACAGGTGAGTGCCAAGTATGCTAGATGCAGGGAGCAGCACCATGGTGTGGCATGAACTGCACATGGCTTCAGATGGTCAGAGGGGAATAGGAAGGGATGAGGTTGGCACTGTGAGCAGAGCCCCACCTTGGAAGGCTTCCATACCCAGCAAAGTGCCGGGACTTTGTAAGCAATGGGGAGCCACGGAAGGTTTTAACTGGGATTCAGAATGGACCAAATCTGAAGCTGAGCACCTTGACAGCTGCCTGGCCTCCACCGGTTCCCCATGGATAGCTGCTGCACTCACACCCCAATGCTCCCCTGCCTCTCTCGTCACCTTACAGCCTCCTCTCCACATGTAGGGGTGAGAGGAACCTCCTAAAACTAGATTATCCATCATACCATCCTGCTTAAAAAACCCTTCAGAGCATCCCCAGTGTTCTTCAGACAGGATTCAAACTCTTCTGAAGGCCCACAAGGTTAGGCACAATCTGGCCCCTGCCCTCCCCTCCCCAGGCAGAGGGACAGGAGCCACTGGAGGGCTGGGAAGTGAGTCTTTCTGTTTCACTCATTTGAAAAATATGCTGTGCACCCACTTGTGTGAAGGCCTGTTCTAGACATCTGAGACAGAGCAATGGATTAAACAGAAATCTCTGCCATCACAAAGCTTTTCATACAGTAAGAAAAGTACATTACGGAGTATGTAGGAAGCAAAGGCCTGCTGAGACTCAGAAACAAAGCCTCAGTGTTTGGACACTGGGTGGGGATGAGGGTGAGCAGAAGTAGGCAGGTCTAAGCAAGGGGCTTGCCCAGTGGCTGAAGCCTCACAGCAGAGCAGAACCAACAGTGGGCCAAAGCCTCAGAGCTGTGGACGGCACTAGGGGGCGCAGGGGAGCTCCTCTGCTTCTCAGTGTTTAAGGGCAAGAGATGGAGGTCAATCCCCAGCTCCCAGGAGGATGATGACCCCTGATAAACAGGAAATGAAGCCCATCCAATCACCCTTGAATGATGATGTCATTTTTGTCACTGCCTCCCTCACTGCACTGAGCCCCTTGAAGACAAGGAATACGTGCCCACCCAGCCCAGGGTCTGGCCTAGGAGGAGGATGGAATGACTGTAAGGCTCATGAGCACCCGTCCCCTTCTCTCTCCTTCCAGGCTGCCCAGCTATGGCACGTTTCCTGGCCTCCTTGCAGTGAGAAGATGAGTAAGCCCCCGCCAGTGCAAGGCAGGAAGCCATGACAAAGTCACTTCCGGCTGGCTCCTAAACACCATGCACCCCTCATGCCCTCTCTTGCTCAATGACCAGCAATATAGAGGACACAGTAGGGGACGGATGCCTGGAAGACAGCAGAACCACAAATGGGAGGAAATCAGAATGGTGACTGTGCCCTCCAATACATACATCGATGGCAATTTAAGTGGGAAAATCCACTGAAAATTTTGGAATAGACAGTTATAGCATTTACACATACACATTGGCTAATATGGTCTCTTAACTTGTTAAATGTTTATTAAAATGAGAATGTCCTGTACAGAAATAATTTCGCTCAAGTCCCTCTCACCTTGGCCGATAGGACAAGGCACGTGGGAAACCTCTTTCCCAAGCGATGGACGGCCCAGCCCACCGATGAGGATTCCCGCCCAGATCAGATTCTCTTTACAGCGCCCACCTTCCCATCACGTACTCCAGGTTGGTCAGCCTGGCTTCCCATGTGGAGACGACGTGGATGGCATAGGAGCTGAGGGAGAGGTGGATAAAGCCCCGGGAATGCAGGTACCTCAGGGCATCAGCGATCTGGAGCAGCAGGTTCACTATCACCTCCATGTGCAGCACGGGGAACTGGGACTTCTGCAGGCAAGACAGACGGCCAGGAACAGGACGGGCCCAGCCCCACGCTATACAACGCTGTGCTGGTTCCCAAATCCTTTAACTGACCCTCTCAGCTACCCAGTGTCCCCATTTTACAGATGGGGAACCTAGAGCTCAGGGAGAGTAAGTGACTGGCCCAAGGCCCCAATGACCCAGGCCCCCTGGTCCCAAGGCTGGGCTCCTTTCTCTCAGCTGAGCTATTCATGCCACAAAGAATGGGGATGAAGTTCCCAAAGCCTGGTATGTGCATCTAGGATGGGCCCATGACCAGCACTGACAATGAACCTGCCCTGCACCTCCATCTAAGGCTATGTGGCTAGGAGGACCCTGAAGATTACAGGGCCAACCCAGCCCCTTTCCCAGTCAGATGACCAAGAAAATTCATCCTAAGAGGACAGAAATTCACTCACAGGAATGTACTCAGCTGCTAAAAGTCATAATGTTTCCCCACAGAAATGGCATTTTAAGGTAATGCCCTAATCAAAGGAGAGGGGAAGGGCAGGAAAAGAAGGAAAAAGAGGACACTCCAAGGAGGTCCTCAGGAAGGAAGGGCTAGCCATTCTGGGGGAGGGCCCTTCCAGAGGGTCTCTTCTCACTCCTGCCAGGAGCCTTAAACAAAGCCAGGGAGAAAGAAAAAAATGCTTTAGGACCTCTCCAAAGCCACACCTCAGCCCAAGGCATCTGTCCCAGCGAGTCTGTGGGGCCTGGAGGACGGCCCCACAAGGAAATCGAAAGTGAGAGAGGGGCCTGTAAGCAAACAAACCTCTCTCCAAGAACAGCCCGTAAAAGCACAGGTGGAAATGTAGGAAAATACAGCCAGCTGTTTGATTAGTGAGGTAGATGTGTTTTCTGGGTCTGCTGAGCTCTTCAATGTCTAACAAAGCAGGACAGACAATAATAAAATCACACTCATTCCAATCAGGTGCTTATCAGCCTTATAAAGTTCACAAGTGAAGAGTTCAGAGATTTATCTTCCATGCATGAAAAGTGGGAACCCTGCTGCTGGGGCAAGGGAAGAGGGGAGGGCAGGGCAGCAAAAGCAAATCTGTGGAACCACCATTTACCTGTTCATGGAGGACACCAAACAGTGTGCCGACGGCTACACGCTCATATACCAGGTGGGTCTTCTCCAGCTCCTGAGACAGGCACACAGCCATCAGCTGCAGCAGGTGGGGGTGCCGCAGCTTGCTACAGAAGAAAAGGTGGTCGGTACAGCCCAGGCAAGGAGGACATGATGAAAAAATGGGCACTTTCCTTTCTCCTAGGCCCCTTGAACACATTCTAAACAAATACCATTTGCATGAGTTTTCCCAAGACCGGATGGGTGGTTGGTGTTGAGGGGCAGGGGTACCTGTGGGTGAATCTATGGCTTCTCACTGATCAGACCCTGAGGGCTTAGAGTCATCAGTGCCAATGTCACTAAGAGCTACTGATCAAGACACTTTACACTGACCATCTCCATCCCAACAACCACCTGTAAGAAAGATATCAACTACTCGTTTTGGAAATGAGGAAACCAAGGACAGGGAGGTGTCAGACACTTCCCTAGACCACACACCCCCGCGGTCTCATGTTCAAGTTCACACTGTGTCTTAAGTCCTTTCAGCCTCCTGGGGCCCCTTTATACTGACTTCCCCCAAAGGAAGGGTCTGGCCCGAAACACCTGCGGTTGCTGAGTGGCTTCCTCAGGAACCTAGATCCACTCCAAGGCCTTAGCAGCCCCGCTGTGAAACCATGAAGCTCCTGCCTCAGCATGAGCTGACCGACTATCCCTGGAGCCACAGGAAACCTGAGGTACTGAGACATGCGCGTGCCCTCAATGGCAGAGATATGGCTCTGCAGACCTGTGAATCTCATGAACAGCCATGCTCTGTGAATGGGTTATGGGAAGTCAATCAGCTGACTGAACTGAGCTCCTCGCCACCATCACACCCACCCCTCAGCCTATTTATTAACTCCTCTTTCTCTCTTGCGGTAGCCCTTGAAATCCACAGATTGCAAAAGTCAGGAAACCCTGAGGCCTAGAGAAACTGATCTCCACACCCCAGAAGACAGCACAGCCCTGAACCTGGACTGCAACGTGCCAGGTCCTTGGGCTTCCTCCTTACCTGCTGTGCTCCAGCTCAGCAATTAGTAAGTCAGTGAGCCGTAGCCTGTGGCAGTGCGGGTGGGTGGGGAAGGTTTAGCTCCTTCACTGTGACCCTGTTCCTGTTCCACACCAGGCTACAGGGCAGGACAATTCAAGCAGACTGGGGTGAGCAGCTACTTCGATAGGGACCTCTCCCAGCCAGAGGCAGAGAAGTGGTGTTTACACAGCATCTACTGTTACACAGCCCCAGGGGGCACTTTGGGTCCTCCCTCCCCACTGCCCCAGGTCCTAATGCATCCTGGGGAACTTAGCATAGGTGGAAGGAAGTCACTGAAGGATTCCAGGGAGGGAGTGGCTCTGTTGGGTTTGTATTTTAGAAAGACAACTGTATCAGCAGTGTGGGGAATGGTAGAAAGGGGTGTCTAGAGAATGGAGGACGAGTTAAGAGGCCAGTGACTTGGGCTGGTGACTTGCAGTGGGAAAGAGAGAGGGGATCCAACAATGGATCTGTGGCATGGGCAGGAAAGCAAGGAGCCTGTCTTTTGCAAATGGAGGGACCCTGAGTGTATGGCAGAGAGAGGCCTTTTTGGAAAGATGTTTCTTCTAAGCAGGGAAGAAGCATCCAGGTTCAAGGAGGCCAAGCAACCTTGGCCAGGACAATTACTGTGACCCCACAGGGGCCAGGTCTCTGGGGACTGAGAACACTCCAGAGACATCTGTCATAGCTATATCCAGTCACAGCTGCCTCTGCTGTGGCTGGCTGCTGAGAGCTGCCCCAGTGCCTGTTCCACTCCTACAGGGATCACAGGCAGTGACCGCTAAGCTGCCTCTACCCACTGTCAGGAGTCATCTTGCCAAGAAGTCGTCCTCAGAGGGGGCCAACTGGAATCTATGTAGACATTCTGGTTGTCATAATCACAGTGTGATGGGTGGGAGCTACTACTCCCATTGGGGGCATTGGGGGCTGCTATGGCATCTAATAAGGAGAGACCAGGGACACGGACACTCCTAAACACCCTACAAGGTGTAGCATGGCTCCCCCCACCCTCCACTAGGATATCCAGCCAAAAATGTCAGAGGTGTCCAGGTGGAGAAACCCTCATTTAGACATACATTCTTCAGTGTTGCCTTGTGGTTAGGTAGAAACCCTCCCACGCATAAGGAAGTCACGTGAGGCCCATTCATCCCATGGCACTAAGTCAGACCTCCCACTGGCCAGCCTCTGCTTACTTGGTCATGACTGTGTAAGGGCCACTGAAGAAAGAGAAGGTAGGCTCACCATCAGCTTGAATCACTTCCCTCTCTCCAATTATTGAAAGACATTCTAGATAGGCCAGCTGTGTACCCCCTGAGATAAACTGAAAGCAAAGCACAGTTTCAAATTGTGGGCAGATAAGAGGAAAAGTAAAATACCTCCTGAATCTTATCAGCCAGCTACAAATAATGAGAGCTGCTGTTTACTAGCCTCCTGGATACCCCTATGCAATGGACATTATTCTTTATATTACCTTTAACCTTCCTAAAAACCTGCAAGGTTGTAATATTCTTACCCTTTTACTAGTGAGGAAACCAGGGTTCACAGAAGGAGGTCAGATGCCTGCCTGAAGCACTGGGCTGGGTTGCCTCTGTGCAGCCAAAACCCATATTCCCTCTGCCCCAGCCCCACTCGGCTGTCTGCACAACCAAGAGACACAGGGCTGGGAGCTGAGCTGTTGGCAAACATCACCCAGCCTCTCAGCAAAGTTTCCCAATGGTTTTCTTTAATGGACAGAATCAAGAACCACAAAGATTTTCCCTCAAAATATTTCTCAGTTTAAAAATCTCAGTTCCTACATATAAATCTCCGAGGGAACGTGTCTGGGGCCCTCAGTGAGAATTAAACGATCATTCTCTAAACTCCCCAAATATAGCCCAAGGTTGTACAGGGGAACTCTCCAGGATTTTCAGCATTTTAACAAGGACAGGAACACTAAAAAAAAGTAGTAAAGAAAAAAATTAATACCTTGGAGAAGATAGGGAAGGAAGAATTGGACAATTATGGGAGATGGGGTCAGAGCCGTGGGCAGGTGATTCTCCAGTTAGTCCAGCAAATGCTGGCTGTCAGGGGCAACCTCTTACTTTCTCAAAGCCAAAGCTGTGGATATTTTGGGCAGAGATGACCCCAACTTTAAGCAGTCAGTTAGGAGAGCGATTAGATTGTCTAGAAGTATTTAAAAGAGGAAAAAAAGGTAAGAATCAACCAGCCATATCCAGAGGAACAATGCTGAACCAAGTTGTCAGAATGTGTAGTAGGTTTTGTCTTTACTATGACAGGTGACACAATAGCCAGCCTCTGAGAGGAACCCTGTGATCCCCACCTCCATGAGTGGTATTCATGCCCTTGTGAAGCCCCCCACAGGTCAGAGAGGGCTGACCCAACAGGACACTGCAGAAATGACAGCATGTTTGATTTCCAAGGCTAGGGCTTCTCCTGGACCCCCCTTGGATCACTTGCTCTGGGGGAGGCCAGCTGCTGTGCTGTGAGGATATTCCAGCAGCCCTATGGAAAAGCCAACCCTGTGATCCCCACCTCCATGAGTGGTATTCATGCCCTTGTGAAGCCCCTCACAGGTCAGAGAGGGCTGATCTGTTAACCCAACAGGACACTGCAGAAATGACAGCATGTTTGATTTCCAAGGCTAGGGCTTCTCCTGGACCCCCCTTGGATCACTTGCTCTGGGGGAGGCCAGCTTCTGTGCTGTGAGGACATTCCAGCAGCCCTACGGAAAAGCCCAGCAGCCAGCCCCGATCTGCCAGCCTTGTGAGTATGCCACCTTGCAACTGGATCTTCCAGGCCCAGTCAAGCCTTCAGATAACTGCAACCCCAACATCTTGACTGCAACTTCATGAAAAATTGAGCCAGAATCACCCAGCAAAGCCAGTTCCTGGGTCCTGACCCACTGAAATTGTTTGACACAAATATTTATTGTTGCTTAAAGCTGCTAAGTTTGGTGGGAGTGTGGACTCAGATGGTCAAAGTCGGAAAGACACATAAAACAGATCTTGTGTAACTTCCAAATTTTATAGATGGGAAAAATGGAGTCCAGAGAGAGAAAATCTACTAGCCAGGAGTCACAGGGCAGCGGCAGGGACCAGGCCCTGATGCTGTCCATTCCAGCTACTGTTTTTCCCATATATACCCCCAAACCACCACTTGCACACTAGGGCCCCCATTAACTGGAGGTGATTTGAAAGGAGGGGCTTATATTTCTTTGGCTCCCAGGCCTGACATGGTGCCATGCATGTAGCAGCTGCTCAGTTAATGCTGGCTGACTGAGTGGTTTGGGCTCAGACTGAAGGAAAAAACATTTTGCTATGGTGGAGCCACTTTCCCTTCCTTGGCAAATGACAAAGGAGCTGCGGGTGACATGTATACTCAGCCCCACCCCACATCAGATCTGTGAGGCCCCACGTACCCACTCTTCGTGAACAGATGTGAATGCTTTACTTCTGCTTTTGGAAGTACTTTTAGGCTCTCCCTCTTTGTGGGGACGTTGGGGTTCCTATGGCCCGGATCCTCACTGAACTTAAACCACCTGATGATGTAACTGGCATGTTGCTGGGCAGCTGCTTCCACACCTTTAGGCAATAAGCTATTATTGTGCTATATAGAGAGCTCGGCCCAGTGCTCTGGAAGCGGAGACACTAGTGCTCAACCTACCGCTGGGAGAACAAGCGGGTAATAAACCCTTTCACCCCAAAGAACAGTTTTGTTGTTAATTTCTTTGGTCACATTGAATCCATAGATAACTTGCCCGGGGCTGAAACCCATTGGCAAGACACTCCTCAGCAACCCAGTGGGGCCAGGCCGTCCCTTCCCCACTCTAAGCCACTGTGCTATTTAAGTAAAGACTCCACAATTCGGACTGAGGGAAACTAGGACATCCCAATTTACACCTGGTGCTCTGGCATCATTAGTGATAGCATCCTTTTCTCTCTCCACACCACCCAGTACAGAGGATAGCTATATGGTCACCATAATCTAATGGACAGGCTCCCCTCTTACACTAAATCCTCCATCTCCTTCAAAAACACAGCCTATATGCTTAGGCCTCAAAGATCCGGGAGACAGGGGACCATTTCCTGCCCAAGGGAGCAGATTTGGAGCTGGCCGTGGGGGCAGGACTCCCCAGCAGCTCTGGAACAGGAGCATACCACTGACAGGCCCCCCTGCCCACCTGGGGGCCTCTTGGTCAGTAGGGGCTCTGCATAAACAAAGGAGCTGGCTGTTCTCTAACAGGGGCATGGATGACACCTGCAAGTCAGACCAACCTACATTTCTCAGGCCAAGTCTGTGTAAGTAAACTCAGCTGGGTGGAGGGACAAAAAACTGACTGTAATTATCTGCAACCATAGAACCATCTGTTCTTCTCAATTAGGTGCTCTTTTTTTCTTTCCCCAAACTGAGCTCTGTGTAAACACACCTGTGAGGAATCTTACCTGACATGGCACCACTCACAGGTCTGAGGACAATTCTTATTTCAAGGATTCATATGGTTTCCTTACATTACAAAGGGAGTGGGGGGATGCACTTCCATCCTACTTTCTATTAAGCATTGTATGGTCCAACCACCTAACAAGAATAATGTTTCATCTCATTAGAAAAGAGATGGTATGTCTAGACTAGTCATTGAAATCTTTAAGTTTATCAACACTTAAACTTGGGTTTCCCTCTCAGGCTGGCCCACATATCCCCAGGCCTCGTACTCAGCCCTACCACACATCAGGCAGTGAAGGGCTGCCGATGAGCAAGACAGACACAGGCCCCGCCCTCTTGGCGTTCACAGTCTAGTCAGAAAAACAAAGTATATAAATAAAATAACTACAAACTGCAACAAGTCTCCCAACTTCATACAAGGGGAGGAGCAGCAGCAGGTGAGGAGGTGAGAGAGGTGGGAGGAGCTGGACCAAGCAGGCCTCCAAGGCCAGGTGAAGTACTTGGGAGGTGATCCTGACAGCCATGGAGAATGCCCTAAAGGGTTTTTAGCAGAGGGGCACAGGCCAATTTCCATTCTTAAAAGGTCATTCTGGATGCTGAACAAAGAACCCAGACATGCAAGAGAAGCCAGGAGAGCAGTTAGGATTAACTAGTACTTGGAGGAACCATGAACTCCTCCTGCCCTGGTGGCATCCAGGTCACCCAATGAAAACCAGGACTCGACGTGCAGGGAAGGACAGCCCTGTGAGAGCACGACAAGTCTAGCTAACCTGATCACAGAAAGATGTCATCAGAGAAAATCAAAATAGGAAGGATCCTTGCATACACACCCTACGTCAAAAAAGTCCCCAAATTTAAAAGAACTGTCCCTGAGCTTGGGCCCACCTCCTGTAGCTATGATGGGGCTGGTGGAGTGCCCACCCTGCTAGCAACAAGTCTCTTACACAGCTTAAAATAGCCAGAGGAACAGTAAATTAAGCATTTGTGGTTTTTGCAACCTTAGTAATAAAGAAACACTCTTTCCATGGTTCAGGAGATGACAAGAGCCAGCTAGCTGCTCCCTGGGCTCCTCATACCTGAAAAGTTCCTTCTCTGCTGACCCTGGGATGGTTCCCCCTGGAGCCCAGAACTCATTTCCCTCAGATGTTCCTGGGGCAGGGCAGGGACAGCTGAACGTTCATCTGTGGCCAGCCTTTTTCAGCAGCCACATCCTCTCCTTCAGACCTACCAATTTAGGTGCGCCAGCTGCTGGAGGGGATGGACATGGAGGAGGACCAGGGTGGCCCACATGCCAATGAGGAAGGCTGGGGTGATGCAGAACATCCCACTCTGCTCAAGGCAGCACTCACCCCTGCACAAGGCCCCCAAACCGGGGCAGGCTGCAGATGAGCTGCCAAGGGGAGTCAATCTTCTTCAGGAGGTCACAGGAGAAACCCTGGATGATGGCCTGCATGTGGGAGGTGCAGCGCTACATGAACTCCACCATCTGCAACACACCAGAGATGCTCAGTGCTGGCGCAGCTAGGGGCTACCTGGCCTTCACTGGCATTGGAAGGGTCTGAGGACTCGAAGCCACAGGGAGGGAAATCTCTGAAAAGGGAAAGACCTGAGTGATTCTGTAAAGGTATGAAACATTATCAGGGAGATGATTTGGCAATAATTTCTTCTAACTCTCTCCTTCAACAGATGAGGTAACTAGGGCAGGAGGAGTGAAATCACTTGTCCAAGGCCCAACAGCTAATGAACAGGAGAACCAGAGGGAGGAAAGAGAGGACTCTGCCCACCTCCCCCTTCCTTCCAGGTGCCCAGGACTGTGCATGTCGTTGGGCTTCACATTTGTTATGCTTTTTAGTCCTCATTAGAATACATCACACTTGGTAGTCAGTGTGTGACCTCAGCAAGTTAATGTCAGTGGGCCTCGGTTTCCCCATCTGTAAAAATGGGGGATAATAACAGTCCCTTCCTGAGAAGGTTGCCATGAAGATTAAATTAGTTAACATTTAACAATTTAATTCAGAACATCTGACGTGCATGCATTAAGTGCTAATTAAAGGCTGGGCAAAATTGTAAATGTTCTTCCTCCCCATTGAATGAATGACCAGAAAGTTTCACTAGACTTGCCCGAAGTTTTACCACTGGTTAACTTACGGCAACCCAGTCCTGCATGTCCAGTGCCAATGGCAAGGCCACCACAAGCCCCGTGCCATCCCTGGAGCTGGCCCCTGGCCTCCTGAGTCCCAGCTCAGTGCCCTACCTGGGACATAGCCTTAGGGGGTCCTTACCGCAGTGCTGAGCTCCTTCCTGCTCTCAGGGCCCAGGTCTGTGGGTTTCAACCCTTCTTGTCAAGGAGCCAAAGGTCACCCCCTGCATCCAGCAGTTTGCTGAGGATCCACTGATTGCCTGAAAAGGCTGCTGCATGGACAGGGGTGCTCCCATCAAAGCAGCGGCTGGAGGGGGTGGTGGAATGAGTGCCCACAGCATGGGGAGGGCGAGCCAGTGGGTGACACACACTCCCTTTCCAGAAAGTGACCTTTGGTGATGAGGATTCTAATACCACCATTGTGAGGCCCCTGTCTGTGACAGATTTACTTACATTTGTGGGGAAGTTGGGGTTCCTATGGCCCGAATCCTCACTGAACTTTAACCACTTGATGATGTAACTGGCCTGTTGCTAGGCTACTGCTTCCACACCTTTAGGTAATAAGTTATTATTGCGCTATATAGCAAGCTCAGCCCAGTGCTATGGGCGGAAGCAGAGAGGTTAGTGCTCGACCTACTGCCGGGAGAACAAGCTGAGTAATAAACCCTTTCACCCCAAAGAAACGTTCTACTGTCATTTCTTTGGTCACACTGAATCCATAGCGAACTTGCCAAAGGCTGAAACCCACTGGCAAGACAACATCCCACTTTTCCACCCTTACCTCTGCTCTTCAAGGTGGTATCATTTCCCAAATTATAGAAGACGAATCTAAAGGGCAAAACTGAGACTCATACCCAAACAGGTGTCTGGTTCAAATCGGGTGTTCTTTCCCTCACTGCCCCCTTGACATTGGCTGCCCTGAAACAGTTTACCCATGTCTTAGCAACTCCGAATCAGGCTGGTAAAGATGGGTCACGTGAGAATGTCTCTCTCTCCCAAACCCTGTGGCTGAGGCCCATAAAACCTTGGCATCAGCAATCTGGTCGAGAATCTACAACTCAGAAAAATTTAACCAAAGCTCATAAACAATCTGAGATGTGAAGGGATGGCCTTGTTGCGTCCAGGATACAGTGAGGTATGATATGCAGCCATGGTTTCCTAACATGGTTGTAAATCAGGATCACCTGGAGAGCTTGTTCTCCTTAACTGAAATAGAAACACAAGTGGCAGAAGGAGGGGAAAGAGAAGAAATAAAATGAAGGAAAAGAAAAGAAAAAAGACTCCTAACTTCAAACCCGTTCTCTTCCCCAGAGGCAAGTACTCTTGTAAGTTTTTGTATCCTTCCAGAAATGCTCTGTGCATACACAAGTAGCAATAAGAATACGCTATATAAACTGTTCTGCATCTAAATTTTTTCACTTAACAATGTATCTTGGAGAAATTTCTATGTGATAAACATACAAGCCACCTCAGTTCATCACTTCATAGTATTCCAACGTAAGTATCATAATTTACTTAATGAGCCATTGGGATATCTGCCAAAAATACAGATTCTCAGACTATACACCAGACTGAATCAGAATCTGCAAGCATGGGGTCCAGAAATATGTACTTTTTTTTTTTAAAGGAATATGTACTTTTTACAAGTGCCTGAGGTGCTGTCAAGGAGGCTGGCCTGCACCAGGGCATCTGTAAATCACTGGAACACCTCATTGTGAGCTCTCTGCTAATGTTAGGTCAGATAAACAGTCCAGCACATTGCACTGTGGGAACCATAACATCCTCCTGGGGATTCAATCTGGAGGCCTACAAGACTGATCTGGCTACCTAGAGGCAGGTTTTATTTGGTCCACAGAGTGTTTAAAAAAAAAAAGGAATTTAAATAATGGACAATATTTAACATTTGAGAGATTTCACATCAAAAATTGAGATTTCCAGCCTCTTGGAAATTTGGAAGATCCAGCCTCCCTGGCTCCCCTTCCTTCCCAGAAGCAGCAGATGCCTGACCCTCCTTAGATAGAGCTTGACCTACTCACCCCACTTGGTCCCACAGGCATCTGACTTTGTGACATCAGTAGGCCCAGACTATAACAGCATTTCCACTGAGTACTCAGGAATACAACCTCCTCCCAGAAATTTCCCCTTCACCTTCATCAGAAGATATTTTTAAAGTCATGTGAAAACAGCCCTATCACAAAATATGAAGCCATGGGGTTTGCCTTTCTTCCCTTGACGATGTCCTTCCCACCTCCCCCTGGCATCATGGGGAATTCTAAAAACGGAATTTCAAATTCTAGGTTCTTCAAGGGCTGGGTTCCTGGTCGCGGCTTTATTATTAACATAATGCACCACTATGGGCCAGCCACTTAAACTGTCTAGGCCTCAGTTGCCTAACTTAGAATATTAAAGGTTTGAATGATTTGATCTTTAAAGAACCCAGCTCTAAGCCTCCACAAAACAGATGAAACTGCACATAACTGGAAACTGTTACATTTCTGCTGAGGAGCTCCAGGGGGTCCCAGTATGGCCTCCCTACAAAGCCGTTACTTGCAAACATTAGGTGAGCTAGCCCTTTCTTTCCAAGTTTTAAAATTAAACATTAACATGGGACTATATCAAACCAAAAAGCTTCTGTACAGCAAAAGATACCATCAGTAAAACAAGAAAACATCCTACAGTACGGGAGAATATATTCATAAATGACATATACGATAAGGGGTTGACATCCAAACTACATAAAGAGCTCACACAGCTCAACAAACAAAAAGCAAATAAGCCAATTAAAAAATGGGCAGAGGAGCTGAACAGACACTTCTCCAAAGAAGAAACTCAGATGGCCAACAGACACATGAAAAGATGTTCCACATCGCTAATCATCAGAGAAATGCAAATTAAAACCACAATGAGATATCACCTCACACCAGTTAGGATGGCCAACATCCTAAAGACAAACAACAACAAATGCTGGCGAGGATGTGAAGAAAGGGGAACCCTCCTACACTGCTGGTGGGAATGTAAACTAGTTCAACCATTGTGGAAAGCAGTATGGAGGTTCCTCAAAAAACTAAAAATAGAAATACCATTTGACCTGGGAATCCCACTCCTTGGAATTTACCCAAAGATTACAACTTCTCAGATTCAAAAAGACATATGCACCCCTATGTTTATCGCAGCACTTTTTACAATAGCCAAGATATGGAAGCAATCCCAGTGTCCATCAGTAGATGGATGGTTAAAGAAGAGGTGGTACATATACACAATGGAATACTATTCAACCATAAAAAAGAAACAAATCCTACCATTTGCAACAACATGGATGGAGCTGGAGGACATTATGCTCAGTGAAACAAGCCAGGTGGAGAAAGACAGATGCCAAATGATTTCCCTCATTTGTGGAGTATAACAACGAAGCAAAACTGAAGGAACAAAATGGCAGCAGATTCAGAGACTCCAAGAATGAACTAGTGGTTACCAAAGGGGAGGGGTGTGGGAAGGTGGATGGGAGGGAGGGAGAAGGGGATTGAGAGGTATTATGTTTAGTACACATGGTGTGGGGGATCACGGGGAAAACAGTGTAACACAGAGAAGGCACATAGTGGATCTGTTGCATCTTACTACACTGATGGACAGTGACTGCATTGGGGTATGGGTGGGGACTTGATAATATGGGTAAATGTAGTAACCACATTGTTTTTTCATGTGAAACCTTCATAAGAGTGTATATCAATCATACCTTAATAAAAAATAAAAATAAGAAACTGAAGGAACAAAACAGCAGCAGACTCACAGAACCCAAGAATGGACTAACAGTTACCAAAGGGAAAGGGACTGGGGAGGGTGGGTCAGAAGGGAGATAAGGGGGAATAATGTAGTGGGGGAGTCACGGGGAAAGCAGTACAACACAGAAAAGACAACACAGAGAAGATTCTATAGCACCTTACTACGCTGATGGACAGTGACTGTAATGGGGTATGTGGGGGGGACTTGATAATGTGGGGAGTCTAGTAACCATAATGTTCAAGTAATTGTACATTAATGATATCAAAAAATAATTAAACATTAACACTGCAGAGACACAAGAGTGTATGGGAGTCCAGAAAAATTCAGGAAGGAAACACATCAAAATGTTCACTATACTTAGTTATATTTGGATTACAGAATTCACATACTGGCCTTTTTTTTCTTTATACTTTTGCAAGCTTCCAAGTTTTCTCCCACCCACTTACAGCAAGTGGGAGAAATCTTGTAACAAAAAACAAACAAAACCACAAAAAACAAATCTATCGATATCAATATTTTTTTAAGTACATTAAGCAAGGTCTCCTTTATGTAAGATGGGAAAGCTATTTATGACTGTTCACAATCTAGAGTTTCCTGTAAAAATTAGCTGGAATCATGTAAGTGCTCATAACTTTTTCTGGTTCTGGTTCTGTGAAATTTGAGCTGTAAAAATATTTGCTGTCCCCTCCCTGTCAAGGACTGAGCAAGCAGGTGGCTGGGAAGGCCTTGGGAATAGCAAAAGCGTTACCCAAGGAGGAGGGATGTTCACGTCTACGTAGCTTGATTCACTGGTGTGTTGCTGTTCCATATCAAAATTTGGACGGAGGAACTATTAGATTCAGCAGATTCTTTTAAACCACAAGAGCCAGGCAAAAGTCTTCCTAACAAAATGAAGCCAAGGATATTCATTAGTGAAAAGAACTTGGTTGCAGAGTATGTTAAATTGCATAAGCAAATCATACAAATTATAACTTGGAGTGGAAATATGCAGACTGTGCTGTTAATGACTAATTAATGACTAGTAAGTTACACTAGTAAAACTGCTTAGAAAACTTTTTGTTAGCTATTAAAAGTATGTTTCAACATACGTACATAACTGTATTTCCTTGATATGTTAGTAAAGATTCTTTTAATCTCATCAAATTATTTTCCATAATGCTCCAACTCATTTTAAAAGCATATGATTTATTTTCTAGATACAGATGTTATTTACTTACTGATTTGGATCTGATCCATAATCCACCAGAACATCAACTAACTTTCTAAGGCCTAATAGTGCCGCAACGAAAAGCGCAGTCTGGCCCAGGGAGTTAGCAGCATCGACATAAATTCCTGCAAAGCAAGTACCGGGATCAATGCAACTATCAGGGTATTACCTATGATAAAACTAGGGAAACTCATAAGAAAAAGTTACAATTCCTTTATACAGTACTTTCAAATATTACTATTGTACTTAACAACAAAAGGAAAAAGAAAGCCTTCTTTAGCCACACAAACAGAAAGGATACACATCAACTAGGAGGCAACCAGCGTCTTTTCAACAAAAAACATTTACAGCAAGTTCCGTTAAAGCTTTCCACCCCCACTCCAGTAAACTAAAAAACGGACTGAAATAGTTCTCCACCTTCTGAAGGAATAAGGTTAGAGGGTTTAATAATACTTTGTGTGAGGAACGGAACACTTGTGCAAGAACATACCCAAACACATCAAGAAAGAAAAACATTACAAACCATAAAGCACTAAACAAAATAAACATTAACTTCCTAGTACAGAAAAACGTTTTTACCTTGCCTTCCAAATAACAGACCCATAAAACAAGTCTAAAGTAGGTATCTTAGAAACGTACGCAAAAACAAATACCACAGAAGAAAACCCAAAAAACACGTCACATAACATCTGCTTTTTTGAACGAGAAAACAAAACCACTCAGATTGTGCTCTCTTCCTCTCACTCTTCTATACGAAGAGAAGAACGATCATCAATGACAAGAGATTGTTGCAAAAACAACACCAATTGTCAGTTTCACGCTCAGAAGAGAGCACTACACCTCCTCCTCGTGGTTTCGGGTGCTCTACACAGTCAGAGAAACTTCTCTAGTAACAAACTATAGAAATGATCCCTGAAAGTATAGTCTTAGTTAAACACGTTCTGCTTTTCCAAACTGGACGAAACCCACACATATTACAGTCACGGTGACTATTTCTTGCGGCACTATTTGTCCCATATGTACATTAACCTATGTTTTCTACAGACATTTTATATTTAAAAAATTCGACAAAGCATTTTGAACCCTCTTGCGTTCCCAAAGTTAGTTCAAGCAGTCATAATTAACATACAGTTGCTGAACAGCCAATCACAGGCCAGTTATTTCGAGCCCCAACCTGTTCCCGCGATAGTTCCGCCGCGCCAGGCGTACGTAGGATGCTGACGACCACAAAGCGCTCCACAGCGCCAGGACAATCCTCAGTATAGACCGGTGGGGGAAGCTTGGAGACTTTCGGCAAGAAAAACGGAAAAGAAAAAAGTGGGTGGTGAAATGTTGACCCAAAGCCAAGGACAGAGACGTTTGAAAAGCGCTTCCTATTGTTAAACTTTATACCGTGATCAAAATACCGGATATATCAATGTTCTTTCGTATTTTCTAAATCAAGTAATTTTTATTAAACATTCTGCAATGTTTAAGTAAATGGGTTTAAACAAGCAGAACGATTCATCATCCCCGTACTTAAAGCTTCAGCAATTTCCCAGCTCTGGGCTTGTTAGTCCGGGGAGAGGAAATCCTGGGGCAAAATACCTCTAAAAACCGAAATCAGTCAAAGGGAGAAATAAAGTTTAAAATCCGTTTATTGCTCACAAGCTGCAGTCTGGGGCCGTTTCTCTCCTTTGCTGCTCCAGCAGAAGCCAAAAACCAGCCCTCAACACCCCCCTCCACTCACCTCTCAGGTACAGATAAGCCCTCCGTGCCCAGATAATACCCACTGATATGGAGATACTTCTCTCCACCCCTGAGGCATGATGCAAATGCACTAAAGCCATACTTCTTTCCACCACTGAACGCCTATTGATATGCAGATGTGCCAAAGCCAGGCGAGATATTCTGGAAATGTTACAATTTTACCCACAGGGCTGAACACAAAACCTCTACAAACTTTCAACCCCCTGCGTTGTCTAGCCCACACCCACATCTCCAGCCTTACTTTGTACAAAATTTCCCCCCACTGTAGCTATACTGAACTCCTTATAGGTCCTCATACTTGTTATGTTCCCTTCTGCCACAGGGCCTTTTACACAAACTGTTCTCTCTGCAAGGAATTTTCCTTCCACCTCTTGCCCAGCTTAATTTCAATTCATCCTTAAGACATCTGTCCAAGTATCATTATCTCACAGCACCATTCTGTAACACTGGCAGGGGGTGGGGGAGGATATTTTCCCAGCCTCGGGGCAAAATACTTTTGAAACCAGAATCAGTGAAAAGGATAAATAAAGTGGGAGAAACCTATGTATTGCCTACAAGCATTAGTCCAGTTCTGCTTACCCATGTCTCTTGCTGAGACAGGGACCATGGGCTTAGACAGAATAGGGTGAGGGCCTCTGGAAAAAGCAAGGCAGGATATTTACAGTCAGAGCAATGTAACTACATGCAAGGGAACTCCCTATCAAAACTCTGTGTTGAACATTAAGCTCTAGAGTCATTCTGCAGTGAGATCAGTTAATATTCCCCAGATAAAGAAGAGTAGCACATGTTTTTATTATGCTAATCATTTGTAATCATGTGTAAGATTCATCTTAGCATGCTAAAGGCCCAGGCCTATGTGCTGTCTTTCCTCCTTCAGATCTGATGAGGTGATTTTGCAAACTGGGCCACTAATTTAGCATGCAGACCAAGCTGTAAACAACATACTAAAAGGCAGGAAGGATTCTACCTTAAAGATAAGATTGCATTTTAACACCCAGGAAGTTTAAGAAGTAAGATTCTTAACTTACTCTTTAGCAAATGGACAATACCTCAGCCCACTTTGGGAGCTGGACAGGCAGCCTTTTGATATACTCCCAGACCAAGATGCCCGTATCCCAGAGAGAAATCGAGGCAGGAAATTCCTTATGTTAAGTTAATTCTAAATATTCAGGGACCACTTAACAAGTCTACACCCCTAAGCTTTTATTTCATGTTCCCCAATATCCTCAACTGCCTATAAAACCCCTAGACAATGCACCACTACAGGCTCTCTTGTCTCCTCCTGGTGTGAGCCAGGAGCTCTGTCCTCTCACTGTATCTCTCAGTAAAAGTCTCCCTCGTTCTCTCCTACCTTGACTGTTTGCTAAGTTCATTCTTTGACTCCGCAAACAAGAACCCCTGGCATCATTACAACCCAGCTGCAAAAAAGGGACCCCAACCAACCTCTCCCATCCAGATATGCCCTCGCTCCCCTCATGGTTACATATTGTTACAGAGATGAATTACTTCTCTTCACCCCTTGGAAACACCTACTGATATGGAGATGCACTAAGGCCAGGCGAGGGATTCTGGAAATATTGCAATTTTACCCACACCTTCCCTGACCTCCTTACCAGAGTCAAACTTCTTTTCTGTGTGATTATCTGATTAATGCCTGCCCCCTGCACTAGACTATATTTCACAAGGGCCGAGACTTAAATGGCTTTGTGTATCCACAGTATCCCAAGCACCTAGTACTGAATGAATGAATCCAAGCAAAGGTGTCCATCGCACAAAACTGGTCATTACCGTTGGTCATTTTAAACCCCACAACTTCCATAAACACCCCTTCGGTGACTTCCTGGTATTAGAAAACGTTTCATTAATTCATTCAACAAATATTTATTTCAGGCCAGTATTGTACCCATGCTGTGGCTGATAACAAAGTGACTAAAGTAAGTCTCCCAAGAAGTGCCTAAAGGTAGCTTTGATCAAAGACTGACCAAAAGGGTCAAGAGACCGGGGTTCAAGTGTTGAAGTCCTAATGAACACCCTTTCTTAGCCAGAGGCCTCCATTTGGGTCACTCACCTAACCCCTGGGCCTCTTGGGAGGCAAAACCTGATATTAATAGTGATGTGTGCCAGGCACCCATCTAAGTCAATCTTCACAACAGTTCAACAGGATAACTATTGTTATTATTGTTTTATGGATGGAGAAACTGAGTTATAGAGAGGTTAAGCAATTTGCCAGGGGTCACAAAGTAATCTGGCTCTAAAGTCCAAAGTCCATGCACTATACCATACTCTCCCTTCATCCTAATTTCTCAGCCTTGCTGCTCAGAATTGCAGAAGGCTTTTATTACTCGCAATGCTGTTCACTGCATTAAACACAGAGGGGAGACAAAGTATTAATTTCTAAGAGAAAGGAACTTAGATAACTTTGAGGGAAAGTAGGAAGACAGAAGGGCGACAAGGGAATACAACAAATAACCTATGTACAGGAAGGATGGGTATCTCACCCAACTCTGCAATATTCAGTAAAACAACACAACATGGTACCTGGGTTAAAAGAGTGGAAAAGAAGGTAAACTTCCTATGAAGCTTGAAAAAAAATGAGAAAACATTCAGTGCTGGAGAAGAGATAGAAAATAGAAAACAGACATTCTTAAATGCAGCTGGGAATGTGAACTGTTATAAAGCTTTTGGAAAGCAATATGGCAATATCTATTACAAGTTTGACTCTGAAATCCCACTGGAAATATAAGAAAACCTGTTATATAAAGATACATTACAAAATATTTTATCAAAGCATTGTTTCTGGTGATACAAACAAGAAAAAAATTTTAATGTCTGATAGGAGTACAGCTGAATAAGTTATGGTACATACATAAATATGAACCAAATATATGTCAAAATATTAAGCAGTTAATAAAATGAATGATTTAGATCTCTTTATCAGTTGGCCTAGAGATGGACAGGGAGCACTGTTAAATGGGAAAAGCAAATTGCAGAATGTGTACACTATGATACACTTTGAAGGCAGATTAGCAACTTTCAAAAATATGTATCTTTGACTCCACTGGTTGAAATAACCTCATGGCTTTTTTTTTTTTAAGGGTCACCCAAGAAAGCATGTTCTAGACATTTCCTGAGGAGTTTGCAGTGATTTTTTAAACCATGAGCTCAAGTGGAAAAGTGAGGCTAGGAGAAAGTTAATCCAAATTTTAAGAACAGGGACTGGGCTGGTGACAGACAAGTGAAAATGCAAAGAGAAAACAGTGGCTTTACTCACTGACATGAGAACTGAATTAGCTGAATATACACTGTTTTCCAGGTTTTCGGGAAGTTTTCAAGGGCATTAACACTTTCAATAGGAAATGAAGTGTGTTTTTACCTAAAATGAACTAGATGTAACATGAGTCAGTAGAATCAAATTTTGCTGATTTTTCTAACCCAATGTGCAATGACAGGCATTGATGTATTAAGAGACCCAGTGTAAAGATAAAGTATAATTTAAAGGTAAGGTCCAAAAATCAAAGAAAATATTCCTTTCCTAATATTCAGATTATGAAAGGGAAAAAAAGTCAGCACACCAGACAAAAGAGGATGATTTATAACTACAGTTAACTAAAGCAACATAACTGAAAGGAATAAGCACTAAGGGGAAAAAAGAAACACCTTGAAAATAATTTGTAAAACATGCCGACTATGTCTTCAAACTACTTTAAGTCACTTTTGTACATAATTCCTAAGTTATCTATACCTTTACTATACACCCCATTGATCAGAACCAGATATGTGAAAAGCAAGCATTACCACACCAGAGAAATCCTAACAAGTTACACATGAAGTTTCACAAGGTCCTGAATACCTTTTCTATTATACCAAAGGAAAACAAATACCACTCAGATAGTACAATGGCAAATGGTGATTACAGAAATATCAACAGCCAGCTTCAGCTCAGGAAAGACTACACCTCTTTCTGGTTTCAAGTACCCTACACTGTAAAAGACCTCTTTTTAGTAACTAGCTGTAGAAGTGATTCCTGACAGCAGTCTTAGTCTTGATTTCTCAGCATTTGCTAGGTCTAGGGAAGCCGTTCACTTCTTATTGAGGGTCAAATAGGGTCTCTATTTCTGGTTCTACTGGAAAATGAAAGAGACTTTGCATTACAGTCTTCCAAATGCTATCACAAAAAGGGCTTTCTAATGTTTTAAGTGGAAATGTAATAATTAAAAAACTTTCTTAAGAGCCATGCCTAATTAACATAATACTGAACGACAACCAGTCACACCCTTTATCTTTTGCTCCACACTTCCAGTAAAACAACTTCTCCCCAGAAAATCAAAGGCAATGGAGACCTTTGCCTTTGCCAGTGAGACCCAAGCTGATTTGAGTGGTAAGTAATTCAGCAGTTGCACCCACCCATTGTCCTAAGTTTGAGTTTCAAACGCTGGTGTAAGTTAGACTTTGTGCAGGGTAGGGAAATGGGTGGCTGAGAACCAGCGCTGGGAAACAAAACTTTTTGGTTTTTGTACCATGTTGTACTACCTGTTCACGCTTTTTGAATTTTTTAAATTAAGCTAGTTGTTGGATGGAGTTTTAACATCCTTTCTTCCCTCAGCAAATAATATCAGTCCCAACTATAACAATAGTAGCTACTATTTATCGAGGGCTTGCCAGGTACCAGGCATCATTCTAAGCGCTTTACATATGAGAAAAATACAATTGTTAATAATCCCAGTTCTATGGATGGAGAACCTTTAAGGCACAGAAAGATTAGGTAATTTGCCAGTGAGGTAACTAGGCAGGCAGACAGCTGTTAAATAGTAGAGCTGTAGGTCACTATTCTAGTACTGGGCATACAGAGGTAGAGAGGGGAGTAAAGGTCTCTACTCTCAGACAGAGCTTATATTCTAGTGATGGGGAGAGATGATGACAAAAAATATCCAATAGGATGTCACTTAATGAGGTATGTAAGGATTTTAAGTGTTGAAACAGAAAGAGACGTGGCTACTTTAGATGTGGGTGATGAGAGAGGGCCTCATGTTGGAGGTTACATTTAAACAGAGAAAACAACTAATGCAAAGTCCCAAAGCAAGGAACAATGTGACTTGTTTCAGTACCTCAAAGACATCTACAGAGCATAGGGTATGAGGTACAGGCAGGGCCAGACAGCTGATGGTTTTCTAGGCGAAGTTGAGGCCAGGGGAGTCTGGATTTTAAGTGTGAAGGGAAGCCACTGGGAGATCTGAAGCTGTGGAGACCAGTTCTGAGTCCACTGAAAGATGTCTGTGGGAGAGATCACGGGGGCTTGCATATGGACATAGTAAGGAAGGAGACACTTAGGCTGTTCTGGAAGTCAACAAAATGGGACTCACTGATAGATCTGCTCTGGGTGGGGAGGTAGGGGGGTGGCAGGGGTCAGGGAAAGAGGTTTCAAAAGTGACATGTTGGTTTTGTGCCTGGAATCTCCCTTGGTGGATGGGATGGTCCTCAGACAGGGAACACTGGGGAAAAGACAGGGATTTCTCCTCTAAGGGAGGGGCTTTTTCAGAACAGAGGAAAGGAGTGTTCAACTACTCCACTTGCTTTACCTGATTTAACCCTTACAAAACCCTGTGTGTTAATGCTATTACTATCACTGGCAATGAGTCCTTGGTCCTGTGGAGAGAAAGAATTCAAGAATAGGTGCATAAAGCCATTGAGCATTAAGAGTTTATTGGAAAATGAGAAATTTAGAAAAAGGCAAGAGTACACACCTGAGATTTGGGGCAGGGGCAGACCCAGAGCAGGTCACGCTGAGGGAAAAACAGGGAGCCTTTTTTATACAGAGATGAAAATTGACTGAGTGAGATTAGATCCCAAGGGAACAGATGTGGTTTTCTCAGAGTTGGGGCATGCTCCACCCTCACTTTGGGAGGAGAGATTTTTTTACTGTATTTGGTCCCCATCAGCACTGTCATGGTGCTGAGAGGTATGACTTTTACTATACTAATGATGGAGCCATATGATTTTTACTATGTTAATGGATTTTGGGGTGAAGTTTGGGTCAATTTCTCCACCATGCTGGAACCAGCAAGATTCGGCCAATCTATTATCCATACCCTTACTCCACATCCCAAGGGGACAGCTTGCACGGAACGCAGAGTGTGTAAGCAAGCATCTGATCCAAGTGCCCCTCCCTCATCCTGCTTAAGTCTAGCTATCAACCTACTCTAACATGATTACTACATCTACCTACTTTACAGAAGAATAGACTTGAGGTTAAGGAATTTCCCAAGTACTCCAGCTAGTAAATAACAGACCAAAGAGCAAACTCTCAAGTACATACTGCTTCCCTCACAACCCCCAACCTTGAAAGAGGACCAAGAACTATCTAGGGCTCACAGTGAAAGCTTGGCCACTGAAGATACAGGAAGAAATCAAGAAGGAACTACATGGTACATGGCCAGAGTGGAAGAAACAGAAATTAACTCTATAGGGGAGATGCAATCAAAACCAGAAGCAATCCCAAAACTTCAAAAGCAGGCAAGTAGATGAGGGGAGAGGGGGCACACTCTCAAGATATGCCTCTTCTTCACCTGCTCTCTAGGATGATCATTTCATTCCTTTATTTTCAACACCCTTGGCTCTTTCTCACCAGCCTCCCTCGGCAATGATCTTGCCTCATATTTGACATTGAAAAGCTATCGGTTGAAAAACCCTCAATGTGGTCTCATTACATAAACGAACCCACCTACATCTGCACTTCCCATCTTTTCTGGCTGCCTCCCGCCTCCTAGGAGCTGCTCTCCCCCACTTCTCATTTCTCCTGCTCTGCTCAGACTTTCCATCTGTGTAAGAATTGTTCGTCCATCTTTAATTAAACCCGGTCTGGATCTGGCATCTCCCCTCTCTTCCCCAGCTGACTGCACACCCACCTAAATACTCTCCATCACAGCCTGACTTCCGGGATCTCTTTCTTCCCAGTGACAAGCCCTCACGTTCCTTCAGTGATCAGTCCACCCAAACCAGTTTGTCCTACCACAGGATCAATAAGGTCACACCTAAATGCCATGGTACCTTTCTATCTCCATCTTAATCTTTCATCTGTTTTCTACACACTTCACTGTCCCATCCATTCCTTAGCTTCTACCAAAAGCACACCCGTTTCCTGCCTGCTCTTGTGTTGCTTCTTCTCAGTCAGCTTCCACAGTTCCATCTCTTTTGCCATTCATCTGTTAAAGGTCAGAAATGTTCCTTAAATGTGCCCTACAGCTGAGCTCTGCCATCACTTCCCACCCCACTGGCCTAATTCAGTTCCTCCTGTTTTCTCCATTTTAACATGGAACCATTGTCTACCCATTTGTTCAAGCCCTAAACCTGACAATTATCCTTGACAACCAGTCTCATGCATATCTGCATGGAATCAATCCCCAAGTCCTGACAATTTTACCACTTAAATATCTTTCAGATCTGGTTAATTTCCTTGATCACCACACAATCTTCTTTGTAGCTAAATGTAGGTGCCTAACCCAGCACTCCTCCCTGCCGCCTGTATTTAATCTCCACATAGCAGTTAGTGACGGTAAATTGCCCACATCACCTTCTTGGAGATTAACACTATCTCCAGCTCTTTCTCTGGTGGTGTTTGACTGGGACTGAGACAGGAAGAAATCATCATAGAGAACAAGTGGCAGGATAAATAGATAATAGATAAATAGCAGGATAAAGAAGACAAACCTTGTATTTCAATAACCTCAGATTACTGACAAATTCACACATGGCCGTCCTTGGACACAGTACCCCACAGGTCATTACAACTCCACCAATGGACATTAAGTTATCAAGAATGCTCCTTGCACTTTAGTATACTGTGTTAACTGTAAACACCCACAACAATAACAACAAAAGTAACTCCTCAAGCTGAAACCACTCGGACGGTGTCCTCCCCTTCTTGCTCTTCCAAAAGAGAAAGATCAACAGCAAACAGGTGTTACAAAGGCAACACTGAGAGTCGGCTTCACTCTCAGGAGAGAACGCTGCACCTCCTTGAAATGATCCCTGAAAGGAGTCTTAGTCGCAGCTTCTCCGTATCTGTTGGGTCTATGGAAACGCAGACCTAGGTTGATGGCGAAATTTTTTCCATGTTCCTAGATTTTCAGAAATCTTTTTTTTTCCCTGAGTTTTTTTTTTAAGGTATTATAGATATACACTCTTACGAAGGTTTCCCATGAAAAAACAATGTGGTTACTACATTTACCCATATTATCAAGTCCCCACCCATACCCCAATGCAGTCACTGTCCATCAGTGTAGTAAGATGCAACAGATCCACTATGTGCCCTCTCTGTGTTACACTGTTTTCCCCGTGGTCCTTCACACCATGTGTACTAAACATAATACTCCTCAATCCCCTTCTCCTTCCCTCTCCACCTGCCCTCCCACACCCCTCCCCTTTGGTAACTACTAGTCCCTTCTTGGAGTCTCTGAGTCTGGTACTATTTTGTTCCTTCAGTTTTGCTTCGTTGTTATACTCCACAAATGAGGGAAATCATTTGGCACTTGTGTTTCTCTGCCTGGCTTATTTTACTAAGCATAATGTCCCCCAGCTCCATTCATGTTGCTGCAAATGGTAGGATTTGTTTCTTTCTTGTGGCTGAATAGTATTCCATTGTGTAATATGTAC